ACAAACTGCTGATCTTTTAGGAAGGAAGCTGCCTCTGAGCACGTGCCCTTGCAACCTGAAGTAGAGGCAGTCATTTCTGTAATACATATAAACAACGCAAAAATTCTGAGGGTTGGTTGCTTTTTGTTTTGTTTTGTTTTTTTTTTTTCAGCTTTCCTCACTTAAGACTCTGATCTGCTGCTCAGCTCACTGTGGCAGAACTGTCCAAGTACACAGCCACAAAACAGGACTTTACAAATAGTTTATACAGAACATTAATCTGTCCTACTACATCAGGACAAGGAAGACTTTCATATACTCAGTTGTGGGTTAACGTGATCAGTATTTGTGCCTAATGGTACATTCCTTGCTTTAAAACCCAGGTAGACTTATTTGGTATGAAGGAACAAGGAATCAGATTTCTCTTTTGCCCTGTCTTGCCTTGCCTTGAACTTTATTAACGGATCAACAGCTGGAAGAGACTGCAAGGTATGAAGTTTGAAGAAGTCTGGAAAGTAAATGCTATTTTCTGCGACTATTAAGAAAGCAAAAAGATGTATTCAAACACAAGTGAACTCAGCAACAACTTGAATAGGAAGCAGGGAGAAAAAGAGTGGGAATGGCGAAGGAATTCCCTTGGTTCCTATGCTGTACTTGCTTCAGTTTCTAAAGCCAGACATTTGAGTGGAATATTCCTACAAATGGAGCTTGAAGAAGCAGAGCTGCTGGAAGGAGATTTGAGAAACAAAGAGCTTTGAGCAGAAATTTTTAGAAAACTAAAAGGAGCCTTCAAATCACACTTTTAGAGGCTGAGCTGCTTCCGGCTAATGGCAGGAGAAGGAACGCAGTGGAGAATACAATGCTTTGAAACTGATGGAAAAGAGAAAGGGCATAGTGAACAAGAAGAGTGAAATTCAGAGCGAGGGAATCAGCACACGGTGACATGTAATAAGAAACATCTGATACAAACAGTTCATGTGAAATAGTACAAAGAAAAAGGAACAGATAGATGCATAAAACACACAACTTCACTGCTGCAATCAGGCTGAACTGCACTGCCAAGAGACATGACAACAGTGAAAAATACTATAAATGTCATATTTTACTCCAAAAGTTGTATTTTCCCTAAGTCTAACCAGCAAAGCTGATAAGGTCAGAGCAATTAATAATGCAATTCCAGGTCATGTGGCAGACTTGCACCTGCCAATATCAAATAAAGATTGGATTCAAACTTAGGATGTGCTCCTGAGAGGTCAGCCTAGTTTTCTGGTCTCTCAAGGATAATCAACAACAAAGGATTTCGCAGGGTAATTTTGTCCTCTGAATAATACAACCGTTAGAGACACACCTTAAGGAAGTTACTAAAGCATCACGCAAAGGCAGCAGTGATACCATGCAGTTCAGAACACACTATTGGCTCTCTAAGATCCAAGAAAGAAAAATATAGTGTATTTATCTGCTGCAAAAAAAAAGCTACAGGATGAATCTTACCCAGGGAGACGCGAGAGTCAACAAACACGCATCATTACGCTTTTATTAAGGCCCTTCTTGCTACAGCTAGTAAAGCACTGATTTACTGAAAGAAAAAAAAAACACTAGTGGCAGAAGACTGGCATAGCCTCCTTGGTCTACAGTTACCATCAGATGGGACACAAGTGAAGGAGAGAAAAGAGGATATATGTTCAATGCCCCAAATTCTTAGTTTCTAACACTGACTGTAGAGCAATGTCAAGCTGCCTAGATGTCGTAGCACCTAAACACAACTTCGAAAGCTTCATGCACTTACATCTTCTACTTCCTCTGTTCTAACACTGCTCAGTAAGGTTTCATGGGAGGAAAATCTAAGGGCAGAAAAGGGTACAGAAGACCTGGCAATTTCAAAAAAAATAATATCAAGATTACAAATTATGTCAATGGAAAGAAAGTATAACAAGTGTAAAAAAGGACCAACAAGAAAACAAAATAAGTAGCAGTTGACAAGAATAAGGAGAGATTGCTCTGTAAGTGCACCTGCAATAGAAGAAGAGAAAACAAACAAACAAGGGAAGTGTTAGTTATGCAAGACAGGAGAAAAACAACTGACAGCTGATGACATTAGAAATGAACTGCTTGATGGTCATTTTCACCTCAGTATTCCTTAGTGATGACAACTACAAGCAACTGTATTCACATCACTGACAAAGAAAGATCTCTGCCTAGGAAAACAAAAGAATGGATTAGAACGTAAGTTTCCTGAAGTTTGATGTTCACAGGTACTTCTCCATAAGATGCGTTAATCTTATATTAATACGACATGTTAAAAAAGTAGCCTCAAAACCAGTAGCAGTAGTAGTCATATTTGAGAACTGGCAAGCTGAAATGCCTATTTTTAAAACACAAAGACAGGGAAGAAGAGAAGCAGTAACAACTTCTTGACCAGAGTCAATACCTGTAATTCTAAAAAATATTTTGGAACAAATACTGAAACTATACTTATTTATGCCTTCCACAGTAAATGACACAAGTCAGCCAAGAACAAGTTAAGTTAAAATCCTTCCTTCCACAGTAGTGTAATGAAAAAGCAGTAGATGAAGTATCTTTATCTTGACATCTGACTGTCACAGCACATTCTTACAAGCAAGACAAACACAGCTCAGATGAAGCTATCAGTATACAAATGCAGAGCGAGCTAGAGTTACCAGAAAGGAAAAAAATAAATTCAGAGTCTACTGTCAAAACAGAATGCTATAAGGATGTTCTGCAGAAGCATGTCCTAGGATCAGTTCCATTGATATTGTACCAACCTAGATGAAGAAATCAATAGACAATATGGAATCTGAGTGTCTCCCAGATCTACTGAAGGACAATATTTAAATTAAAAATTTATCTCAACAAGTTCAAAAGTTGTCTAGAAAAACACAACATTTAATACTGACAAGTAAAGGAATCATTCAAAACTGAAGTCTGAATCAGTCACTGCAGCAAACATGACCTCAGATTTTTGGCATTCTGATTGCCATAACACAGCAAAGAGCTATAAAGTATTCCACAGTTTAATTGCCTCACGTTATTTACCTTAGACTTTCTTCCCCAGATGCAATAGGGATATCACCATTGAGAGGATGTTGGATTTTTAAAAAAAAAAATCCCTTTCTCTCTCCAAAGAGAATTCTTGATTTAATTGAGATCTATGAATCTTTTCCATGTTTCATTAAACTCTTCAATTGAGAGATTTGGCAATCTTTAAGAATTTAGAAGGGAAAAACACTGCCATCTCCTGGAGCAAGTGAAGCTGGCAGCTCTCTAACACCTGTGTTCTGCTCTCCATCTTGCATTGTTTTCTATGCACTGAGAAGTAACCTCAGGGACTCTGCAAGTCACCATCAGATGTTGCATTTAGAAATACAAGCAAAAGGCCACAGTATATTGCAAGATACATTTTGGTGGCCTGTGTTCAGTAGCAACATGAATCACATCTACCCATCCACTCCACCAAATTCTACATGCTGGAACAGGTCTCCTTTCAATCAGTCCTTACCACATACAAATCCTGAACAGAAATGCTGGTTTAAGCAGGAGTGGGACCAGGAAAAAAAAAAAACAATAGTAGCTTATTTTCATTACAAGCATTCATAGCAGACTGGATGAAGTGGAGTTGTAGGTGACGCCTGGAATACAATTTTCAAATCCTTCTGCAATTATCTTGGATCGATATTACAATCACCAGTTTTCATACAACAGCTTTCAAGAAGCAGCTTCTGAGAATGTACCAAATGCCCTATTAATATAACCCAGTCAGGCATAACACTGTCTGCTCTATGCTGAACAGCTCGTAACAGTCCATAAGGAAGTATGCTGTATCTACAAAGGTGTATGAAATTACTGCAGTAACTAACTACTCCACCCCCCATTCTGCTTCTGTTAGTTACAGCAGTATCACTGATATGCTTTCAGAAGTGCTTTACCACAAGAAATAGCCAGTTATCAAGTAACATGGGACACACCTAGTAGTAACAGTTCATATCGTAGGTAAGCCTCTTCCATTTTGCCAGTAACACCGTCTATTCTCCTAGCACTCAGTTCCAGGGCTAGTTGGAAGCTACCTTAGGGATCTCGTGCTGCATTCACATCAGTTGCTACCCAGTCCAAGGAAGCACCTCAGCTACCTTTTTTCCTTTTTTTTTTTAAACAGATTATATCTGAACTAGGACATTACACAGCTGCAAATGTTTTAAAATTAGTTTTCTAATACCGTCTACATAGAAGATGACATTCATACCTTTTCCTATCAATCTGTCTTGGAAGTTGGAAGTCTTTTTGAATGCTATAGCTGTTTAACCATTCCTCTGAAAAAGAGCACAACTACCAAAACAAAAGCATTAATGTCAGAAGGCTTCCACAGTCAGAGAAGCATCAGTAAAGCACAAGGGCTGAATCAGGATGAAAGCAAACTGACAGAATACTAGTATCAGCAGGATGAAAGAGATAGCGGTTAAGCCTGGAAATACAGGTAAATTTTTAGACCCCACTACTTGGATAGTACAGTTAAATTTTAGTATACTGACAAGTGCTGTTACTTCCTTTTTTTGGCCATGTGAACAGTATGAATAGTTTATTATGCCTAACGCTCTTTCTCATGTCATCTAAGAATTTCAGGTGATTTCATGCCTTTGTTTTCTTCATACTGGAAAGGTATTCTGCTCACCTTCCTGAGGCTTCTTAAGCGCTTTACCTGGTTAGGAACAACTGACCTAAAAAATAAGTTTCATCAGATTATTTTAAGAGCACTCTCTACCTATACTTTTAGTTTAATTCTGCAGTATTTGGCTTCCTTCTATTCGGCAATTACAGTTGAGGTTCACAGGAATATCTCAGCTGTCAATGCTAAAACTCAGCTTTTTGGGTAAACTCAGGTAAAAGAACTTTGCAAATTTTTGGCCATCATATCTCATGTTGGCTTTGCATATTACATGTTCTGATGTGGTGTATCCTTAGAGATGAATGATTTAGGTATCTTAAAAAAAAATCCTTAAAAATTTAGTATCTTCAATTCAACATTCAGTTTATTTTCTAAAATAAAAAACATGCACATTTGTAATATACACCATTTGATTCTTACCAAAGACATGTTTATAAATATTTTTTTTTCCTTTTAATAAAGATCTCTATCTACAGTCCAAATCCTGAATGCCAATCTGCCCAATTAGCTTTTAGACAAACAGATTCCACTGAAGACAATGTAGATCTGTATTGTTTCAGGTGCTGGAAAGAAAATGTACCTGCAGAACTACATAATTATCTCTTCAGGCACTTGCCATTTGGCTAAAGCAAGTGTAAGCTTTTCATTACTTATACAAAAGCAACAAAATTCCAGTCTTTATAGGCTTTTTCAGATGATTTCCACATGAAAGAAGTGCAGAAACAGAAATTTACACATCATCTCACTAAGAGAAAATGCCATATCTCTTCTCCAGTTCTTCAACAGAAGTATCTTTCAATCCCATGTGCTTCACGTGACTGAACAACATCTGTGTAACTGTAAAAGAAAATCCCAACATAAACTGTTATTTTTGTGATTCACACTCAAGGTAAATTAGTCCAATTCTTTCCTCAGTGAGAGTAAGGGTTGGATTATATACTTGAAATACGAGCAAATTTTTAGAACTACTAAGAGGATGAAAGAAGTAGCAAAGGGAAGCTCTCACTTTGTTTTAATGCCCAGGAGCTGCCTAAAAACACTTCCTTAAACAGGTATATAATGCTCACAACAAACAGACAGCTTTTATTTTTGTTTACTATCTTGGCACTATGTCATTAAATAAAAGTTAATGCCAGATGGCAGATAAAGCTTACATCAGGTTAAAGGCATGAATGCAATTCCTAAGAGGAATTTACTTGCATTTCAGTAAGTCAAACAAGTCATTTTATTTTAAGGGGACTGACATATCAAAATTTGGAAAGTATAATGGTTATTAGTCAAACTCAGCTGTAGATAGCAATTTTGACATTATTTGGCCCCACAAAAAATGTTTTGCTTGTAAGTGTCTCACTGTTACATAGTCTGTCTGGTGTGCTAAATAAAGAAAATGTTTGAGACAAACCTTACTTTTATAAACCATGAACTCAAGCCAATGTCAACCTGGATTGCAAACTAATTGAAGTGATGCCTCAAGAACAGGACAGATGACCAGGCTGAGTGGTTTAGAGACATTTGCATTCTTTTTGCCAACAGTAAAGTCAGGATTGCCAAGAAATGGTCGTAAATTGTGGGAACAGTGTAATTTGGATATCTTGCGTTTCAGATGTAAGATTTGGATACCTTGCATTTCAGATACAAGATTTCATACAAATTCATAAATTTGTAACATTACCAGCTACAGACTGAAATACTAGCGAAGCTTACTTTATCAGACTAAAATGCAGTGGTATTATGGATAAAAACAAGAGGATCTGGCTGTAGTTTTCAAGTCTTAACAATAAAGAATCAAAAGATTAAGAAAAATTACATGACATTCACATTAACTTCTAAAACAATCAAAAAGCTAGACAACTAACTAATCTTAACAATTATTACATGGAACAAACAACAAGAATAGCACTAGATTTTACATATTTCTTGCTAGATTCTGCACTATCACAAATGAAGTCTAAAAAGACACTACCGGATTACTTACCTTTTTTCTCTGAGCCCGACATAAACATTACTGCCATATCAAATCTTTTTAATTCAGATAGCCTCTGGAGGATTTCAAGGATGAGCGACGGCTCCTCTTTCCTGAGGAAGATTATTAGAAATATAAAAATAACTACTGTTTATTAGAAAGTAGCTGCAAGCAATATTAAAGACTTCAGGAACAAGAAATTAAAGGACCAATGGAATTCTTTTCTGTCTCTTTCATATTCCCTGCCTGTCTCATCTTTCCTGTTCATTCTTCCATGCATGAAGCAAAAAGTCAACATCCAGAAATCTTTATGCAAGTATCATTCTGATACAGAGCAATAGTGAAGAAGTATAAAACCCTACACTGATGCAAACTGACTGCTGCACATGTACAGAATAGCTATTATATGATTTAATGCTTACAACTTGCCATAATGGTACCATTTTTATCCATATGGGGGTGTGTGAGGGGAAGTAGCATCTGTGGTCAAAGAAAGCTCAAAAAGCACCACATTACAGTTGCCACCATTTTTATCCATACAGAAAATTCGTACATGGCATTTATTTTACATTCTTCTGGTCAACAGTAAACAGGCACTGTCTGTCACAAATACTAACAACAAATACTATTTTTCTTTCATAACTTGTCCTGTCCCCCTCCAGAAGAAACGTCTTTTACTTTACTGCAAACAATGTCAACTTCCTCGCCTTTCTATGTCATACCACCAAACGTAGGACCGTATCTCTCAATATGTCATGTTTCACCCACATGATGGAAATTTATGTAGGACCGTATCTCGCAAGATGTCATGTTTCACCCACATGATGGAAATTTACTTTTAAAGAAACTGAAGGAAAGACTAACACTGATTTACATTTGCTTTTCTCCATAAAACAACATCCTAAACACATTCTGAGTGTGTGCTCTCAGACAGACTAATTCAGAGAAGCGGTACGCTGCCTCTGACAGGCAAAATGAGCTTTAAGACTCAAAAGGCAGCATGGATAGAAATTTCAAAAAGAATTGTTAGGTCCTGTCTTATCAGAACTTTAGCTTAAATACACATTTACAACAGGCTACTATAAAATGCTAGCAGCTAATTAAAAGTCAGAATGCATCACAACAAGCATTGCACAAGAATGAAACTCTGTATATCTTCACTTTAGAAAGTTAATATAGAAAGCCAATATTGTGCAATCATATGTGATAACATACACAGTAATATGTACAAAAATTATTTCGTACAGTCTAATATTCAGTTTCTGATGCTATTTAGCAGAACTGAATTCAAAAACAGAGTAAAAGCTATTTATTTCTTTACCTTTTTTCTATTTGATTTTTTAAGATGTGTTTAATTTCTTAAGAAGGAACAACTGAGTCATTCCAATTATTGCATCATGCTCATGTAATGCTGCATGCTGGAAACAATTTTTTAAGCCCAAGAGTGAGGCTGGGAGAAAAAAAAAAAACAAAACACCCCCCAGAATAGCAATAAGCAATGTAAAACAAAGGAGGAGTTAAACTTACTCAATGTAGAAATCATGCAGAATTTTCAGTATTTGGTTAAACAAGTCTGGATCTAAGGATTTCTGGAACAGTTTTGGATAAAGCGCAGGCTCTATTTGCTTTGGAAAAATTAGAAAAAAAGTGTTATTTTTCAGAAAAAATATATAGGTGAGTCATGAGATCTAGAAATGAGGTTTTAGGATGTCTTGGACAATGTCGAAATGCATGAAAGCAAAAAAAAGAAAACCAAATCACATGCACTGTTTGACCTTGAACATTAATTTTGATTCTTTTTTTGTGATGTTGATCACTAACTTTTTTAAAACGATTGTAAGCAATTTTTTTTGGCAAAATATATATAAGCAGAAGTACACATTAAGTAGATTGATGTGTTTCAAGCTTTTGTTCAGTTTAAGAAAAAATAAGAATGTTGCTATTCCTAATTACCCTAGAAGCATTCATTTGAAAAATTAGAATTTAACATGGTTACTAATGTATTTAAGTCTTTACAGAATCAGAGCCTGTGTTTGAAAGATTATGCAGAGACTGTACTCAAAGTGAGGTAAGCAAAAAGTCAGGCACAAGAGGAGAAATACTCAAATGTGGATCAAACTACTTAGTATTATGTGAACACAATTAAAGACAGGGACTGCTGTACACTGTTAAGACACTCAAAACACAGCCACCGTTTCCACCTAAGTTTGTGCGGTTTCTTCAACATCAGCTGAAGAAACTGTCCAAGCACTGTCAATCAAAACTACATTTCATACCTTCAGGTACAAGTACATATTTTCTGGGCAGTCTTTCAACTTCCTGAAGTCAGACTCAAGCTGGAAAGAATTTGCAGGAATGGCAGGGACTGGAGAAGCAGAGCTAAAGGACCTTTTGGGTTCTTTTTCTCTCTGTTTGTTCACAGGGAAAGATGGATGCATCACTGACGAAATTCCTTTCACACTGGCAGGAAGCCTGCAGAGAGATTT